ATATATATATATATATATATGTGTGTGTGTGTGTGAATATATAACGGCTATATAACTGTAATATATTATATATTAGCCAGACACTGTTAACATGAACAATTTTTAACTTTATGTCTGGTATTTGGTTAATGTATTTATCCTTTAGTTTGTGTTTATGTGATGTGCTTACAGCAGTAATATCCCTAAGGCGTTGACTGACAGCCTTTAAATAAGCAGTGATGAGGAGACTGCCGGCCCTCTGAGACTTCAGTTTTGGGTGTGTGGATGTCACTGTTTGCCCTTCTCACGAACTTCGTTATCGTATATTCAATTATGTATCAGATGGGGACCCGCAGAGCAAATGAGAAAGAGAGTGAGGGCACCATTTTCACTCATAATGAGGCAACAGGAAAAGCTTGTGTGTATGTGTGCAGTATACAAGTGTGTGCATACACTAACATTTGAGCAATATTTTGCCAATCTATGGAAATGCATCACTTTGCATTCAGATTACCTGCTGAGAGACAATGAGGTAAACAATAAATCATGTAAGATGTTTTGTTCTTGCAATATGGATTAAGGTATTCAAACAATGTCAAATAATATACATTTTATTTAAACTATATTTTTGAACCATTTTTCTATATATTTAAACTGTTTAATTTACAAAAACTACATTTTAAAAACTAAAAATGATATTTTTATATTTTATATATATGACATTTTCTAAAGAAAAAAACCCACAAAATAAGATATTTCATAAAATGTCTCCATGTTCTCGGCTCATTGGTCCAACCATGTTGGTTCGGACCCCATTGTCTTTCATTGTATGGAAAAAGCAGCTAAAACATTCCTCAAAATAGCTTATTTTGTCTTCCTCAGAAGCAAGTCAGTCATACAGGTTTTGTAACCCCCTGAGGGTGAGAACATGATAAAAGACATTTAATTTTTCTGTTTTCTAGTTAAAACTAGAGGTTTTGAATAATCATAAACCAAGCTCCACAAACTATGAAAGGAAATCTGTATTTCTGCTGTACTAGAACATGATTTTACCCTATTTGTGGATTTTAGTGGACAGATGGAGCCGGGAGTTTGCTCTCTCAAACTGAGGAGAAGTGAGCGCCTAGCAACAGCAGCATGGCCGCCTTCCTATTACAGCCCAGCGAGTTAATGGCAGCTCCCTGAGGTGAGAGAGAATTCCATCTCCCTTCTCCGCGTGAGTATTCTCATTTTCCTCCTCCATCTCTCCAGGTAAAAATGGCAACATGATGCTGTGCTCTTGATTTTTATTTAGTCCACACCTTCTACGATCCTCAACCTCTGCGCAGACATCTATCCCTCGCCGCATACGTAGTGGCGTTATTTGTGATGCCGATATCGATCCTCTGCTGTTTTCTTGTTCTCTGCTTGTCAGTTTGCCCTCTGGACAGCAGACCTTTGGGAATGTGAAAAAAAGCTGGATGCTGAGACTGAGAGTTTCACATCCCTCAGTCCTCTGCTCATCTGAGTGGTCCGCTCATCGCCTGAGGCTGTTCGTCTGATAAAGGTGTGCCCAGACAACTCTCTACTGACTGTCTCCTTGTTCCAGAAGTTACCCTACCCTCATTTCTCTGACTGGACACAGACATTTGCAGAGAACCTGAAATTATTATATAAGGGTTCTACAAAAAAAATTAGTCACTAGGTGAGAACACCTCTCCAAAGTGCCAGACACCATCGAATGTGAGCATT